GAAGAGCGAACATGTCAGAAACGGCAACGGAAAGAGAAAAATAATTAAAAATAGTGTGCAATAGTGGCAGGACAATAAAATATGAAAAGAAATGCATCACGGAACGAGAAAATTATGTATAGCAATGCGAGATTAACAAGAGTTGCGGGGAAAAATGTGATGAAACAGAAAATACCGATAATAGTAAAAAGATACCAAGTTATTGTAATTGTTTCGTGTCGAAAAAATCAAGTTTATACATGTTAATAGACGTACGCGCGTGTAGTGTATCGCATTGATTGCATGCACAAACACTAATTACGGAAAGTATTATAATGTGCCGACGTAACCGATTATAATATTCATCGCGTCCATCACGGCTGTTGGCATGATGATCCGACCGAAATTGATTACGGCTTTTCCGGGCGAGTCGGACGGAAACGCACGCGCACGAGCTGTATTCCATTATGATGTGTTATGTACACGCATACTGTGCGCGTGGACGGGACGGAGAGAACTTTTGCGCCGCCGTTCATTTATTACTCGCGTGGAAGAAGGGATTCATCGTCGCCGGCGGTGGCGGGTGAAGGGACGGACTAACGGGGACCGACTGACGGACACGCGGAAAAGGTGGTTTTGGGTTTTTGTTTATAAAAGATCTCCGGGACCGTTGGTCTCGCATAAAAGATAAATCTCTGCTAGCAATATACATATATATATATATACATTTACGTGTGTGTGTGAGTGTACGCGTAAAGGTTCGAATAGCCGAACGCGTGTAGTGGTGAAAGCATTATAGTAATAGTAGTAGTAGTAGTAGTAGTAATAATGTAGCAGAAACGTTGAATGAGCTCCCGGTGCGGTTCAAAGGTTTCAAAAGCTTCGAATAAAACGCCTTCCCCTGCTCTACCCGTGATGCCACTGTTGCTTGTACTCTACCACCTCTTTCGTTTCACCTCGTCCGCGCAAAGTCGTGTGTCGTCGACGAACGTGTATCATATAAATGCCAAAGTATATATATATATATATATATATGTATAAAGAGAGAGAAACATATTGAGATAGAGAGAAAGGATGGAGAAATAAGGAGTATAGTGAGTGGGTGAGAGAGAGAAGTTAAGACGGGTGCATAGGTTGAACGTCTATATGTGAGTGAGCGCACGTGTATGTGCGTGTGTTTATGCTCAGAAACTTCGACAGAGGAGTTGTATGTTGATACCGAAGTTAGTCTTCCACCTCCCGAGCACGCATTTCGCCAACCGACGTACACCCCGTCGTCACCTCTTCAGCCGGTCACCGGGTATATATTTTCTGTTTGTTTTGTTTCGATAATGTATTATATCCTGTTTTTCTACGTCCTTATTATGCTCTCTCTTGCTCCCTCTCTTTCGGTTTCTTAATTACTCCGTCATCTTTTGCTTGAGATTTAATTAAACTCCGCGAATCTAATGGGTACATTATATACTGTCTATTAGTGTATGGTATAAATAGCAGAGGTATGCATTATATACACTACTATGCAACCTAACCACCGCAGCACACGCTACGTATATGTGTTACAATTTCATAACCACCGGAACGGTAGTACTGTTGCGATTACTGGAAAATACGCGTAAACAGTGAAAAGGTACAAAAAACCCATAAAATAAATGTGGGTACACCGAAACGATTAGAAAGATCGAAAAAATGCTTTTAAAATTATTTCCTATTTTATTTTAGCTAAATAATAACGTTACACTTCTTCCAGTACCCATTTTGATGAATAATCTCGTTTGTAGCTTTAAAAGGAACTCCGAAAAAATGTATAATTAAAGAATTTATATTAGTGTTAGTTAACTACCATATTATTATATTTCTCGACAATTATTAGACGTGAATATTACCCGGACTCGTGTGATATACCAGAATTATTCAATAAATAAACCAACTAGTATTCATAATTAATGCTTGCACGCATTAAACTTTGTTTATACTCTGAACACTTATCCGTGCTATCCAAGTCGAATGAAAATCGTTCTACGTAAACTAGTCTGATTTATTTGATCATTGTACCATCGTATAGATTCTATACGACCAAGGAATTTGTTCAAACATTTAAATAATTTAGGACACTTAACTCCATCGACTTATTAAGTATATATGTTTTCATCACGAATTTAAAACGTACGCGAAAAGTTAAACTCTTATTGTGCTTAAGACCTACGAGTTAAAAACCAACCTCAAGGGTATAGATGAAAAAAAATCAATGTTTTCAATCAATTTGAATAATTGTTCGTGATAATTCCATTGACGCCGTTATATTAAAAGTTTTTTCCTATTCAGATCGACTACCGACATTTGGTAGCTTTTTTGTTTAAAAACTTAAATCACACTCTTTTTCAGGTGTCCATTGCTTATCGGAAATCTTTGGGTACTAAAGCATTATACATAGTTGTTAATTTTATTCGTACAGTGTTGTAGAACGTAGTCAAGTCCTAGGAATATTGTACCGGGAGGGGAGGAGGTAAAAATATCCTAGGAAAATTATACCCCCTTCGAGGTACAATATTCCTAGTAAATTCTTACCGAGAGGTAAGATTATCCTAGGATATTCCTACCGGGGGGTACAACTTTCCTAGGATAATCTTACCCCCTGAAGGGGGTATAATTAACTTTGAATAATCTTACCGGGGGTAACGATAGCCTAGGGATATTGTACCGGGGGTAAAATATGCCTAGTAAAATCTTTTCCTAGTAAAATCTTTACCGCAAGAAATAATTCTTGACATTTTTCAATTAGGATATCACGCGAATCAGTTAACCTTCGCAAAATGTACGTATTTTGTGATAAGTTAAACCAAATAAAACGTTAACGACTGCATTCTTCTATTGTACGCCAAACAAACGTGAGCATGTGACACATTGGCCGTATGAAATATAAATGTTACAAATGTAATCACGAATATAAAAATAAAAATCAATACACGTGAAATTTTAATCATATATTTGTTCAAACGTGTCACAACATTGTAACACGTAACATAAATATACGATATATTATTTTAATATGAGTATTAAATTGAATAATAAGTGCAAAATAATAAAAATGAACAATAGTCGAATAATATCATTAATACAGTTATTGTGTGACCCTGCATATTTTTTCTGATGGAAATATCTCCGTAAATGTTCAATTATTTTTTCCAAATTTTTCATTTGAGTGTTTCAAAAGTTAGGCCATATCATGCGAATATTAAATTTATGTCTTCATCATTAAATTTTCTTGGAAAAATAGTATATGAATCATTAAGAAATTACAAAATACTCATTGTTTGTGAAACAACAATTTATTATAAAAATGTATAGCGATTGAAAATCCAAAAATTGGTTTTAAAAGTTATAACTATGATAAATTTTGAAAAGAAAGTAAGTGTGTACACGTTTTAGCTCCAAAAAAGGTGTTTTGCGGACTTAAATCAGAAAAGATTTTGAAAATGTGCAGAAAATTTGATTATGGAATTCTAATTGACCAAAAAAAAAGTAGTCATCAATCCGAGGTCCGAAGTGTCCACCGTCTTGGATTTTATGTGCGATTTTTCAGTTTTTTAAATTATCTTTAAAAACATTATTTTATCATAAAATTATATTTATAGAAAAATATTATTGACATAATTTACAAAAAGTATATGTGTATATTTGTTTGTAGCTTAAACAAATGAACCGTGAAATCAAAAATAAAAAAATATCACATCACACTTGTCTAAACTAGAAAATGTAATATTTACGCTTTTTTTGTATGTTCTAACACTTCTATGAACGTATTTCACCATTCACCTGTTTGAGCTTCAAAAAAATATATACACATATGTTTGTTACAAATGTCAGAAATATTTTTGTTTAGGTATAATTCTATGAAGAAGTGAATATTTTTACAGATTAATTTTTTAAAATACAACAAAAAATGTAAGACGGCAACTTCACGTAGCCCACCAGCGTCTATGAAGTTTCTCCCCTTCCATATGGTTCATATAGTAGACTTCAAAAAAAATTGCGATCCCTGACTCCGGGTGTTTTTGAAAATTTCATTTTTAACTATTTTTTAAATTTTTCATTGGGTATTATTTTTTTTAATTAATAGACATTTATATTAATTGTATTTCATAATTGTTTTCATTAATATTAATTTAATCTTACCAGTTTTTAGAACTTCTTAATTTCACCGTAATAGGCTTTTTTAATTGAGTGGAGGATAATTCACGCAGCCCCCTCCCACTTTGTTCTATTAATTCCAACCCTTCACTTATATATTACCTTTCTATCTCATAGCGTACTTATGTTACCTACCTATTTTTTTTGTGTATAGTGTAAAATATACGAATTTTCTTGTATATAAATATTTTATTATGTTTTTAAGTCTCTTGGGGGGGGGGAGATTGTTCCAGTTTTACCTCTTAAATTACGCCCCCGTAGTATACTGCATGGCGAATTTCAAGGTCTTATCATGTTAAATGCTGATGTAAATTTATTATATACGCACCCGGCAGTAGCCGACGTGATTTGACCTGCGGTGACCGTCACCAAATTTTTTTTTTAATCCTAGTTAAAGTATTGAAAAATATTGACTCAGAATTTTGTAACACTTACCTCACTCCTTTTTGACCGACTCAGTTATGTGATGAAGTGGTATATGTTCTCGTTTTAATATTTAGTATATATAGTATATAAAATATAATAGTAAAAATGAAATTTTCAAAAACACCAGGAGTCAGGGATCGCAATTTTTTTTTGAAGTCTACTATATGGACCATATGGAAGGGAAGAAACTTCATAGACGCTGGTGGGCTACGTGAAGTTCCCCAATCAAATATTTTTTATAGTGCCCAAAGTAAGGAGTTACAAATTCAGAAAATTGTGTTACGAATAGTTACAAATGAGTTACAAAATATTGGCATTGGTCCAAAGTAGATCAGACAATGTCGGGGGGCTAACTTCACGCACGTGCGATACTTTAAAAAACTACTTATTTTATAACACGACTAATATCTATATGCAATTAATTTCTTATCCTGGGACGAGCCAATCGTTTTATTCTAGCTGTAGCCTTGTATTGTAATGCTCGTGGATTGACTTTGTATGGATTATCTTTCACATCTTCCGAAAGTCCTGGCTTCTTGATTAACGGCTCTGCCAATTTTTTCATCCTTTCTGAAACTGAATATTTGAAAAATGTAGATACAATATATTTAGTGTACTAGGTTAATCTCTTTAAATGTTTTTGATTAAAAATTATATTTCATTTTGAAAAATTATTTTGTAAAAAAATAACTTATCATTGAAGTTTTTCTTCTTCTAATAATACAAATTAGTAGTAGTTGAGGGTAAGGTATTATCATTTTATTTGAGAATAATCGATTGGTTGATAAATCTTCGAAGTCAAAACTAAGAACGACTTTGACTAAGTTTTCAATAATACATTATAAGGACTAACAATAAAAAAAAATTGTAAAAAGTTTTTTTCAAGGAAAAAATAAATAAAAAACATTAAAAAAAACGAATTGAAAATATTACCTATATAACTAAAAACATTTATAATATGATTCAATTCAGGGTTATTATAAATTATAAAATAATAAAATAAAATAAAAATAAAAAATTATTAAATGTTTTTAATACTCATTAATCTCATTAATGAATATTTAAATGAATATATAAATAGTTTAAATGTATAAAAATGCATTAATTATTAAATAAATGCTTAGCCTGGAGTATTACATTTTTAAAGTACGAATGGTTTAAAATTAAAAATTTATCGTCAGTTTTGTGTAAAAGGCAATAATTTATTTATCGACTAAATATGAAATAATAAAGAAAAGGATTTCAGAAAAATAGGTGAATTCACATAGAGATAATTTAATTTAATAGGATATAATATTTAAAATTAGTTCTTATTAGACTTAGGAATTTTAAGAAAAATAAACACTTTGGTTATTACCATTTATTATTAAACAAAATATATTGATTTAAGATATTTGAAAATCGGTTTATAAATTATAAATTATTTTTCTTTATTTAACTGTGTATGTATAATATATGTGTATAACTCTTCTAAATGAATTTACATGCAAAAATATGAAACCAATAATATTATCAATAGAAAATCTATGGAGAAATTCAAAAAATAATTTGCTGAGTGAACATGAACTCGTGCAATCATTTATAATCAGAAAAAAAATATAGTTGGTGATCGGAGCACATTCTTTCCGGTCGAATCGTACAGAAGGATGGAAAATAACGCGCCATGGTTACAGGTACATTACTTTCTACGATCATTATATCTAAAAATACTATTAAGTAATGTTCATCAAAAGTTATACTTACGAACATATCTTTTTGCATTTGCAAGCCTTCTCCTTTCCTCTTGCTCATGATTTAAATCCAACAGAGCCTCCCCGTCCAACGACTTAGGAACGGATAGTTTGAGAATTCGGTCGCTGGCTTGGTAATTCAGAGCTGACTTTTTAATCTACGACCATTGGAAAATAATACAAAATACGATATTATTTGGACGCACAAAATTTGACGCATATAGTATAGACGTGCGTAGATCGGGCAGCATGAGTTTGATCCGTCCCACTTTTAAGATGCTACACGAAATTCGGCCCATAATCTGGTTTGTGCGCCGTTGGTTATTGGGCAATTCAACAAGATGATATCCTAAAGGCTCGATCCCTCTCTCCCAACTACATACACACACCACTAAATAAGTCCTTTATTATAAGAAAATATATTTTTGTATCTATGGCTAACAATTTGCGAAACTTCAGTGCTGCAGCAACAACAATGAAAAAATGAACAAATGATCGGACGGTATACGATGCCAGAAACGTCAACGTGCTAATCCGTTTCGGTACAGTGGTCATGGGTGTGGTGAGGTGAGGTGTGGCAAACAGAATAAGGTCCGGGGATAGCGCATAATCAGTGACGTAGCTAGAACGGATAGGGCCCCGGGGCAGTAAATAAACTAGGTCCCATGAATAATACGATCTGTACATGAAAATTCAAAATATACATGTAATATTGTTGTGCCGAACGTGAATATTTACAATGAGTACACAAATAAACAGATATTTAATAGATATACAAAGTGAAAAGAAAGTCCAGTGAACTACTATGAAAACTATAATTATCAGATTGTATTATGATAATCATTGATCATTTAATTTGAATTGTTGTGTTTATCATAAGCTATTAATACGTATCCGATCAAATTGATACATCTGTAATATGTAAAAATCGATTTATTAAGTTTTAGAACTGTTCAAGGACCCCGAGGCCCTCTGCGTTATGGGGGGCCCGGGAAACGGCCCCGATTCGCCCTGCAATGGCTACTACGCCGCTACGCATTATGTACATGATTTACCACCCGGGTACGCGTGTCCACGGGGTCGTGCCTGTCACGCACGCTGACGGTTTAAAGCTACGATTCCAACGAAACAACGCTTAGAACCGAAGTAGAAATCAAGAGAATTTTCAATCGGGCCCGTGATATATTTTAAAATTATATCACCCAATTTTAATGTTTATCGTCTATGCTGTAACTTATCTGTATAATAATTGTTATCCGGTATTAAACATCGTTAAACCGTTGAACGTCTATCAAATGTCATATGTAAGTATAAGTGTAGTTTTCAACCATAGCTGTTTGTACCGAACTATTTAACTATATCAGTTTCTTCGTATCATTCGTATCGTGCTGTCGTGCGTGTTGAATTTATTATTTCCGTGTATACGAATGCTAATTGAAATTCATATTTTGAATGACTTTTTTTTTTTCGTTTTCTTTGTTCTGGCCCGCTACATTTTAATTTTCTAAAAATTGGTTCTCTCTAGTAACTTTGAGTCGCCCATCCCTGGTATACATGTATACGTGTAAGGTCTTCTTCTTCAACAGCTCAACGGTCCATTAAGAACCTGCGCTGAAACTAGTAAGCCTTTCCATTTTTCTCTGTCCAAAGTCCAGTCTAACGTTGCATGCTCATCTATTAGTCTCATATCCTTTTCTACGGTGTCTTTCCATCTTGTTCTTGGTCTTCCAAGTAGGCGTTTTTTATTTATTTTTCTTATCAAAACATTTTTTAATACATCTCCATCAACTCTCCATACATGTCCCAGCCACTCTAGACGCGTTTACACCTTATATATGTGAGTATATTTGGTTTTTCATACAGGTCATACAGCTCTTCATTGTGCCTCTTTTCATAAATTCCCAGGTTGTCGTTGTCCGTATATATTTCTTAATATTTTCCTTTCCTATATAGTAAGTTTTCTATTGTCATCTTTTGTTGTGGACCAAGTCTCACATCCTTAGGTTACTATTGGCCTAAGGTAGCTTGTGTACAGTGTAGTTTTTGACTTCCTAGATAGCAGTTTTGATCTCAAAAATTTGTTTATACTAAAGTAACATCTATTTTCATTCGATGCTCTTTCTTTTATTTCCCTAAGCATGTTGTTACTGCTGTTTATATTAACACCTAAGTATTTGAAATCATCCATCCTTTCAAAGTTCATATTTCCTACTTTCAGGTCTGAATGGTCTAAGTTTATTCTAGATAGTATCATAAGTTTAGTCTTTTCTTCTTTGATACATAAACCCATGTTTTTGCAGGCTTCTATTAGTTTACAAACTGAGTGGGCAACTTCTTCTCGCGTATTCCCTAAAAGAACTATGTCATCAGCATATGTTAAAATAATTTCTTCACCAAGAACTTCCATTGTTCGTCCTTCATAGGATTCTCTGATAACTTTTTCTAGTCCCAAGTTAAATAAAGTTAATACGTGTAAGGTAACGACGATTTTTTCCCCACTCTAAAGATGGGTTTTTCTATTGCCTTTTACCGTGCCTCGTATCTAGGAACGGCAAAAATTTCCCTGACCTCGATATATCTGTTTTTTTCGAAAAAAATATCGATATATCGATAATTTTTTTGCCCGTATCGCATCCGCGTATTTGTCTCATGCACGACCCGCTAAAAAGGACACGTCTACGACGTACGCGCGAACATGCCGAACTATATGGCTATAGATACCGTTCTCATCTCCTCGTCCGTCTTTTCGTTCATGTTCGGCGGACGGTACGCCGGCTTCGCCAACTGTTCGAGCCGCGGCAGTAACGCCGACAGCGGTTTTTTCCGTCTCACCTAAACAAAAAATCGGACGGTGACAAACAGTGGTGTATCCAGGATTCATTTAACAAGGGTGTTTTAAAATTTAATAAACTTATGGTAAGTAGAGCCTCTGCTCCCTCCCCCGTATTACATAAATAAATTCCATGTATTTATATAAATGAAAATGATTACAGCATATGTAAAACCTATAAGTTGTATACAACGTTTATTCAAATGATCAAAGTAAGTTTACAATTTGGTAAAATACCATAAAATAAGGTCGATGAGGGGTGTTCTAACACCCATATCACCCCACCTCCCTTTAATACGCCCCTGGTGACAAACGTTCGTTGCTTGAACAGCACTTACCGGCGATACGGGGCTCGGTGGCGTCCGTTTGGGCGCGGCGAACGTCTCCAGCTTTTTCTGATAGGCCAGCCACATCTGTTTGGTCATCGTCCGCGTCGTCCTCACCACCTTCTCTTCCCTGGAAACAAACGTCAACAAACACGTGATTCATCGGTCGGTGATCGTCGACGCCGGGGCCAAGACCGACACCGTCCCGCGGCCGTGTTAGCCATTAATCATTGTCGTTTATGAGCTCAACGATCTGTGCACTTACGGGTCGTCCGGATACTGCCTGGGTTTGGCCAGTTCCAGTTGCCTGGCACTCAACACGACTTTTCTCTTGTACCAGGATTCGTCCCGCACCGGCACGGGTTCGCGTGCCTCGGGGTCGACCGGTTCCGGTTTGGGCTGCGCCAAATAATGCAGCCGCGGTGGCAATTTTGCCGTTAGAGCCGCCCGCGAAATCTCGAATGGCCCCTGAAAAACCGAAAGGGACTCGTAAAAATGAAATTTAAAAAAAAACGTTATTATAAACAGCGTTTATTCGTTCGATATTTCATCCAATTGACCTCGTATTCGGGATTCGGCCAGACATTGAGCCGCCGGCACTTCGGTCTGGTAAACCCTTCTTCTTTTATTAATTTATTTACAGTTATTAATTTTTTTTGTTTATCAGGTCTTAATTTTTCTAGTATATAAGGTCTTGATTCATTTATGATCTTCTTCGATTCGTTGAACTGTTAACAAATGCAAACAAATGCAATGCAAACGTTTCCAGCGATTTTAGTGGTCGTTCGCAAGAATTTCGTCGATTTTATACTTACCATTTTTTTCGTTGGACTTCTGGACGAAACTTCTAAAACCTTATGAATAAAATACGAATTTATATCCAACAGCATTCACGGAAGTTTATTATTTAAATAAACCGTTTCCTTGCAAACATCGTACTAAATTTTTCCGATGAATAATCATTAGAATTTATTTTAGCCAACTATTTACATAACACAGTTAAGAAAACAGATAGATTATTGATAAATTTAGCGATGCATAAATTTATTATCGTTTAATCAATTTCAGTTACATTTATTCATTTACCTAACGCGTACTTTAGTACATTGCATAATTAACGTTTAACAATTTCCAAGTACTCTCTATATTTTCTAATTTGAAAGTGATGATATTTGCTATCCGATCAACAAAATGGCTATTTTGGATTTTTTTTCGAATTGCAGAATTAAATTTCAAATTTGAGTTCCAATTCATTAAATCTCTTAATGCGACTTTGTTGTAGCGCAGAATCTGAGTATTTAATTAAAAAAAAAATCAAAAATTAAAAATAATAAACAGAACGAAAATTATTCAATTTGTGGAATCATCATGGAGCTCTCTGTAAATTCATAATTTTTTTATTATAATTTTTTATACGTGTATGGTACGCGTTATATCTATTTTCTTCGGCGCATTGTAACATCGTACATATTTATTCAGTGGTTTTTTTTATGTATCGTTAGATTAATTTGACTTTGAACGAATATTATAAACTGTCGCCACCAGCCGGGTTAGATTAGTTTAGGTTAGGCTAGTTACCATTCGTGTAATTGCATAACATGCAGCGTATTGAACATTGTCTACCGGTTAGAAAATATATGGATAGAGGTACGTATTACCGAGAAAGTATCATCGCAATATACTAATGTCATTGATGACGGTTTCGATTTCGATTTTTTCATAATATTCATTACAAATAAGCTGAACAAACCGAGGGTGATATGTGTATCTATGATCGAATTTCAACGTGAATTACTGCGACAAAAATAATTTAAAAACAAAAATATTCTCAACCGTACAGCATCAATATCTTATATAGTTTATATTTTTTATAATACAATATATATTCATTAAAGAATACAGTAGTGTATTTTGACTTCTTAAAAAAAATATTTTGATATTTTTTACTTTATCTGCTCCTTGACCATATTTCAAATATCATTGAAATCTGATTTTTTTATATTACCATTGCGTTCCTGTATTCTTTAATATTTCGCGATTATAAAATTAATATTTATTTTAATTTTTTTTCATAAAAAATTTGAAGACCTGATTTTTTTTTAAATCACGATAGTATACGAGTAATAAAACAACCTCGTAACGAAAACATTCAGGGCTGATTATGTTACAAAGAAGTTCTCATCGAAGGGAGACAAAAAAAATGAATATGTTTAAAAAGGGAAAATTTAAATGTAATTATGTATGTATAATTTTAAAACTAAAATAATTTTTAGATATCCACATATATACTAAAAAAAAAAAGTATATACATATTTATTAGTTTTTCGCTTTTTACTATAATACGTTTACTAAAAAAATGTTCGTAGTATTGGTTTACTTGACCAGGCTTTTGTTGTTAATTCCAATTATAAACATCTGAAACAATGGTTGAAAACTTTAATTGTTTTTCCGATCACAATATTGTCATTTAAAAATCATGTATTTCCGTCGTAGTGCGAATTAAAAAATAGGTTTTTCTATATAAAATAGTATTATATATTTACAATTCATAATCGATGATTTTTAGTTTCCGGTGCATAGAAAGTTATTTGTTTTTGTTGAAATGATATTTCCGTTTCTAATAAATAGAGATACCGTAATTTTAGCATGCATTTGAAACTGCACTGTGATAATTTTCCATTACAAGTTTTAGAGGGTGTCCGTTACAAAGAGGTAAGTGTACACGAGTGTACACAGCTATATTATTAACATAAAGTATTCATACAGTTATGAATATTTGAAATTTAAATTAAACATATTAAAATTTATTGTACATACATATATGTATACCATTTTTACCATTTGAAATAATAATTATAATAAATAACTATCAACTAGAGATGTAATGTATATTCCAACATTCGAATATCAGTATTCGATGCTACAATACCTATTATTATTAAACGTTTTGTGTTGCACGAAAACTAAACGAATCATTTTCGTTACGTATTGTATTGTAGCATCGAATACTCGAATAATTCCTATCATTGTTATTAACCATACATTTTACTTAAATTTTGAAAACTTATAGCTATATATGAATACTAGCCGATGAAAATTCATAATTCAATATCTTAATCGTGTTAAAATATAAATGAATCTATCTATTATTATATAGACAAAAAAAAAATAATATTTTTTTTATGATCATGTTGATTCGTCTACAAATTGGTTGCTTCAGTTTTCGAAAAATATGAAAAATTAAATTTTTTTATTTTGAGTACACCCAAAACGATTGATTAATTATTTAATGTGTGATCCTATATAGAAACTTAGAACTGAGTAATAATACAAATATAATTCGGAAATAGTATTTTTAGAAAAAATTTAAGAAGCAGAGTGACAAATACGATGTGACATGTTCTGTGTATATTTAGACTTGTTTTAATCAAAGATATTGCAGTACGATACTGTCAGTAATCATAGTACACTAAGTGACTAGTAATTTTTAAAACGTAAATGAAAACAAATACATACTTACTTTAATTGCTCATGTAATATATATACACATAATGTTTTATTTTATTTTTTTAGTTATTTTTGATCTGCTGTTATTAATGTTTATTAATAATCATCGTATATTCCTCAAAGCCTAAAACTACATCGAATAATACAACAGCTTAATTTATTCTTGAGCATATATTTAAAGACGAGGACAACATGAAGTGGTCTTTGGTTTCTGTTTGTAAGTGAATGAATTCACTGGGGCTTCCAAATATCAAATAGATTGGAGCGACATAAATCAAAAACGATGTTCAATTCCTAATGTCTATTCGAAAATGTTTAAACGCCAAGAAATTAATCGATTTAAATGAACGCCGGAATATTTACGAAATGATAAATGTTATGGTAGGTAGTACATATCATAGCGATATATTCACGATACAGCTACTATTCTATTCCCAAAATGTAGGGCTAGTGTAAAAGACGTTGTGTTTTGCTGAGTCGGCGTATTCACTTGGGACTTTCAGTCATTGTCGGCCAGTTGCATACGGTGCGACTTGTTGGCGGTGGCGCAACAACTGGGGTGGATGGTGTCGTCTAACAGACTCAAAAGGGGCCCCAACATAGACGTAAATTCGAAGGATATTTTTATCGTGAAAGAATTGAGAAGCGATGTAATTAATGATCAATGATTAATAATGATAAGTAAGTAGAAGTGTTGAAATAAAACAAATTTACTTAAATATCTACGGGGCTCCAGACTTACCTACGGGGCCCCTAGATCCTGATAGCGACACCGCTTGTTGGCTTCGAATAAAAGGATAAGCACAAGTTCGAAAAGTCTATCGACAATAACACTCCTTACAGCAGTGGCACAGAATGCGCCCATGTATTCCGACCGGATCGTAGGTGAAAACGTCAAGAGTAAAACGTATACGGTCTGATATAATACACAATGTACCGTCGCTTTACAGCCGGATCCACCCGCGGTCACTGTTTGCAAAGATTACACAGGTCGTGTATACCCGTCGGTTTTGGTTCCATAGAAAATCAAGTCGGTTCGAATAATAGGATTTAATTATAAGGGATACCTGCGGCTACCTCTAAATATGATGTGCGCGAGTTGGGATCTCAAATCGAATTAAACGTTTAATGCCGTTTATGCGCATTCGAGAGAGCACACGTTGAAACGAATTCATCTCCATCGGCCGTTCCAGCCGCGCCTCACACGGTGTCAGCGTATTAAGGGTGTTACCAGCACTCGTGTCACTTCAGTTACGAAAAATACCATATAACCCGATATAATTTGTATCTATAGTAACAATTTAACAAAATTACTATTCAAACAAACATTATGTAGACACTAATTTGCATTACATGTTTTGTTCGTTGTATCAAGGTATAACGACCATCTTTTCGAGGTGTAAGTATGATAGTTGCAAAAACTTACTGTTACCGATTTATGAGCTACTAGCAGTTGCGGTGCTTGTTCGCCGGGCCAGTGGAAAGACAGCGCAATTGGTGCCCCTCGCTCGTGTATTAATATCTGGGACGAAATAATCAATAAATTTTCAGCAGAAAAAACCTGAAAAAAATGTTTTTGGTAATTGTTGAATTGTTTTAAATGTTTTGTTTTTGTTAAGTAGAATTTTACTAAGGTTTGGTTATCAATAGTTAATAACCAAACCTTAGTACAACAGAATATTTGTACAAATGGTTACACAAATAAAATGGTTTACGAATTTTATATTATATTTTTTAATTCAATGCGTTCAATAAAATGTATTTAAAAATAGTAACTCGATGAGGGGCGGCAACCAAATGGCTAACCTTCCTTCTTATTTAATACAAAAGGGTAAAAAAAAAAATCATTTGCGCCGGGCACCGTTCCGGGGCGATACCGCCGACGTACGAGTCGTGTAAACGCAACGGTTCAACGGTAAAATGTTTTAAACGAAAAAAAAAACACACAAACTGTACAGTTCGACCGGAAGTGGTGGAAACGTGAGAACAAAAACCGGGTGGACGCGATTTTCCGAAGCGGCTCGCGTACGGATGAAATGCAATAAAATCGTTTGGTAACCCGGCATCGTCGGCTTTTCGAGTCGAGTATACTGTTACTGTACAGGTACGGTTGATCGGGAATAAATTACAACAACGTAATTTCAACTTAATATCGGACGGCCGCTTGTCCGGAATATTCCATCGGTAATTAAACGCGAACGTTCCCATCGTTCTCCGGTCGTGGCGTTGATGTTGCGCACCATTCCCGTGCAAGTTGAATCAGAATAATGTCGAGCAACGTACGATTCCGATTCGATTTCCGAAACGTGCAGCACGCGACCTGTGCACGTAATGTAATCAAGGCCGGGTTAAGGAGGGGGTTCTAGCCCCGGGGCCCTCGAGT